CCAGAGGCTTCCCAGAGGTTCCTGTGCCTCCAGGCCCGAGAGAATTCAGCCTGTGCCTCCCACTCAAACCTTCCACATCAGAACAGCTCTGTTTTTTTCATTTTTTTAATGTCGATCTGTTTCACATATTACATTTATTTGAAGAACAGCTTCCCAAGTTTAAAAATTGTAAAAAAAAAAAAAAAAAAAAAAAAAAAGAATCCCTGGACTAGACGATCCCTAGAGTGCTGACATGCTGTGGTCCACACTCATCTGGGACAGCACCTGCTGCCCTCCCACGTGGCAGGACCCTCCTGGAGCCTCTGGTGAGCAGACGAAGGTGCTGTGGAAAGGTGGGCTCTCCGCCGCCCTGGACTTGCCTCTGTGTTGGCACTGAGCGGCCTGCACCCTCAGGATCCCTGCAGCTCCACCCGGTCCTCCTGGTCCCCCGGGCGCAGGATGTGCTGCAGCAGGCCATTGACCACATCCAGGGTCTCATCCTTCTCCAGCACAATGTCATAGGCGTCCATGTAGCGTGCCCGCTGCTCCTCCACCTGCCAGGGGATGAGCGGAAGGAGACGAAGAGCACCCAAGATGCCCTGCCCTCTGCCTCTTGTTCTTACGCACTTGGGACTGGGAGGAGACATTCAAGCAGCAACTCCCCAGCTCCCTCTTGCAAGCCCAAGAAGTTCAAGGTTACAGGAATCTGTACTTTGGAGACAGATAGGAGATGGGCTGCCACAATTAACCCTGGGGCCAATGTCAAAGGACAGTAACAAAGATTATAAACAAAAAAACAGGTGTTACCTCTAATCTACCTGGACTGAATTTTCCCACGGCCCAAGCATTCTGGTGCACTCCGGCGCCTGCTGGCTGCGGGGAGACTCCGGCGGCCACCAAGCTGGGCTCCACACTTCGTGCGCCTCATGACCGTGCTGTTTTCACCCCGTCAGTCTCTAACCTGTTCCCGTTAGTTTCTTCTCTACATCATAAACCTACATCCTGAATACTGACGTCTCTCACCTCGATCACGCTTCCCAGGCGTGGTTTAGGGGGACTGGTAATCAGCCCCACCGTTCCTTGAACTACTATCCCCTCGACCACATTATTTAACCTCCTTGCTTCGGTTTCCTCCCCTGTAAAATGGGGTAACAGTCGCAGCCTCAAAGGGCTGCCGTAAGGATGAGACGGGTCCATGTCTGTGAAGCACTTAGAGCGGGGCCTGGGACCTGGCGAGCAGCAGTAGACACAGGCTGCGAGGGAGCCCTCTCTGGACGCCCGTGTTGGGTGGCACGCTGAGTGCACGGCTGTCACTGCTGGCTACTGCCTTTTGTTTCTTGTGTGGTTACAGGCTCCGGGAGAACGTGGCTTGTACATTACCTCTGTACCCCTAATACCTCTACAACAGAAGGTGGGGTTTTTTGCGGCTGGTCAGTCCAGGGATGGAACCCTGGACCTCGGTGTTGTCCGCACCACACTCTAACGAACAGAGACGCTCTAACAGGCCAGCCTCTTTCAAAAGCATTTGTTAGCAGGGATTCCAAGAAAAGAAAGCCGTGAAGAGAGGAGGCTCTGGTCCCCTACCTACCTTGTCATTTAGGAAGCCAATCTTGAGAATGTTCTGCACACCGGGAACTCCTTCAGCCATAGTGAGATCCCCCATGGAGTCTCCAAGCAGGAGGACGTTGGTTCTGCCCTGGAGCTGCTGGAAATAGCTAGAGTTCTCACACATGGAGCTGTTCTTATTGTACGTGTGTATGAGCTGGCCCTTGAATCCCTGTAGGAAACCCTAAATAATCAAGACAAGAGGCAGACAGAAGGGCTACAGGGACCCACGTAGTGCCAGTTTTCCATTGTCCCTGTAGATAATGCCAAAGCGTCATCATAGTCTAACCTCGGGGTCAGCAAACTAGAACCGATGGGTCAGATTTGGCCTGTTTTTGTAAACAAGGTTTCCTGGAACACAGCCATGCTCGTTTGTTTCCATCTTGCCTATAGCTGCTTTCTTGTTCTAGAATGACAAAGTCGGGCTGTTGCGACAAAGACTGCATGGCCCACAAAGCCTAAAAGTATTTACTACTTGGCCTTTCAGGAAGAGTTTGTAACTCTTGGTTTAAACTAACAGGGGCAACCAAATATGGTTGCTCCCCTGTTCGGGGGGAAGCACGAAGCCCGTGGCGTAAATGATGCTCTGGCTACGTGTGTGCTAATGCTCAGCTGTGGGCCAAATCCTAACCACAGGTCAAAGTGATGAAAGTTCCAGCCATTGGTTTTTAGGGGAAGAAGCCAGAATGTGGGTGAGTCACAGCAGCCTACCCCTGCCTCTAGAAAAACAAGTCAAAGTCCCAGCCCTTCCGTACCTGGGGTGGCACGTGACCCATGACAGTGACATGGGTCTGGACTGACCCATAAACAGGTAACCCGTGGCAGAAAGTTGACTGTCAGCCAAACACCCAAGAGAGGGTCCTTTGAAAGTAACCCACAGCGAACTCTCTGAGGCTAACGGGGCCAGCGTGCCTCCCTCCCTCCCTCCCGAGGCCGGGGTTAAGGCGTCCTGCTGGTGGTCCCCACGCCTCTTTCTTTTTCAGTCCAAATGAGACTTGACTCACATCTTCATTAAAATCCATGTAGTTGGACACAATGTGGATGTTGGGGTAGAACACTTTCATCTGCCGGATAATTTCTTCCAAGATATCACCGATGCCCGCAGAAAAGATGAAGAGAGGGATGTTGTTACGGTAGAGGGTGCTGAAGAACGTCTTGTATCCCTCCCTGCAAAGAGACAAATGTGTATGGAAACAGCCTTGCCTCCGCTACTGTTCTTTATTTTCCCCATGGGTTTTGTTATACCAATCCTAAGTGTTCAGCTCAATTAATTTTCCTTTTTCTTTCTGCAATCCAAACTCATAGGAAACTCAATTAATTTTTACATGTGTATACACCCATGTAACTACTAGCCAGATCAAGGTTCCCTGGTGGCCTCTCCCGGTCAATCCCACGCCTTCCCTATTTTGACTTCATGTCACAAGTGGTCAGCTTTGCCTGTCTTTGCACGTCATGGAGATGGACTCACACAGACGGCACTCTTTCATGTCTGGCTCATTTTGTTCAATATAATGTCCATAACGTGTTTTGCATTTCATGAGTCATTCATTCTTTGTCACTGCTATGTAATATTCCATCATATAAATATGCCACAATTTATCTATGCAGTTTCCTATTGATAGACGACTGAGATGTTTCCAGATTTCCGCTATTATGTATGAGTAGAGCTGCCATGAACACCGTGTGTGTGCCTTGTGGCGGCTACGTGCACTCCTTTCTCTCGAGCATACACCTGGGGGAGGAGGGACTGCTGAGGCAGAAGGCAGGCATATCTTTTCTGCTACTGTTCATGCAACCAGGCAGCTATCCTGGGACCTCTTCACTGGGCAACACGCCACCGCCACGCTGGCACTTACTGGGTCTACACACATCTCCACTCTCAGCTTGTCAAGAGCCAGCCAACCTCCCCAGCTAGGACACGCCACCCTTGCGGGCAGGCATCTAGGCCCACTCCTTCCTCTAGGAGCCCCCACCCCGCCTCCAGGAAGGAAAGCTCCAGCAGAAAGAGCTGCTCGGTGAAGGCTGCTGACAATCAAGGGTCCCAGCTTAGCCACCTCCCATGTCTGGATGAAGAACAGCAGTCGCCAGAGGGGCCCCAGAAGTCTTTCACCATTGTGAAAAGTGAGTTAGACGCTGCTGTAGGAGCTAAAGGCCTGGTCATTTCACACCACATCCACTACCAGCAAACCGCTTCCCAGGACGGTGGGAAATCCTTGAGGTGTATCCAGAGAGTAAAAACCAGACCTTTTTCATATCGGTGGCTCGAGGCGCCATCTGTCTTCTGACTCTCCCTGCAACTAACTCCTCTCCGCTCCCTAACCTCCTTTTTGTAAGTAAAACAGTTCCAAATAGTGTGGAAGAACTGTTTTCCAGAGCAAGCAGCTCACCTGAGCATTGCATTGGACTCTCTAACCACCTGGGCTATGTGAAACTTCTGAATCTTCTGCTGACACAGGAGATTGTGTGCTTTGGTCCACCTAGAAACAGACAAACCACAAAACCCCAAAATCAAATCGCTCGAGTAAGTGTCCTTTCCCTTCACAGCACCAAGTCCCCTTGACGGCGTTGAGAGTGGAGGCCTCATCCTTCTCCACAGAGCCATTTCCTGAAGGGCTTGGGCTGTCCTTAAAAGGAAGAGGTGAGAAAGCCACATAGCAGAGAGACAAGAGTTGGGTGAGCTGCCTGCTGAAGGCAAGCTCTTCTGAGTCCCTCTGTCCTTGACCCCACTCCCTGGAGAACTGGGGACTGTCCAGTGATACTGGTTTCTATAGGACGGTGGCTATGGTTTGAACACGTCCCCTAAAGTTCATGTGCTGGAAACTTAACCCCCAATGTGAAGGTGTTAGAAGGTGGGCCTGATGGGAGGTGTTCGGGTCATGGGGGCACCACCCTTATGAGTGGATTAATGACACCACCACAGCAGCGGGTTCCCTGTAAAAGGACGAGTTCAGCCCCCTCTTCCTCTCTCCCTCTCTCCCCCTCTCTCTGCCCTTCTGCGTGAGATGACGCAGCAAGAAAGCCCACCCAGTTACCAGCCCCTCTGACACTGGACTTCCCAGCCTCCAGAACCATGAGCCAAGAAATTTGTTTTCCTTATTAATCATCAAGTCTGTGGCATTCTGTTATAGCAGCACAAAATGGACTAAGACAAGGGTCATTTCCCCAAAGCACTTATTCCCCCAAACCAAGGGGCTTCTAACTTATTCCAAGGATTCTCTGAAGGCCTCCACTGCAGCAGCAACCACAAGTAGCCCCAGCTGTATCTGGACAGTGTGTTTTAATAGCTGTGCTAACGGCGTTCAGTTAAGCCCTCAGTAAGGTCAGGGAGCTGGAAAAACACAGCCCTCCCAGCCACTGCATCGGCAGGGTCCAGCAGCACCTCCTCACCACCAGCACTTACCAGTCCACCATATGAGGCAACTTCTCTTTGATGGTGCGGTGTGGGTCGATCTCAATTGCATAATAGTGGTGAAAGAGCGCCGTGAGCTGGGACAGCCAAAGGACGAAAGAGCCATTAGTCCACATCAAGTTTTCCCCAGCAAAGTCCTACAGCTTAGCATGAGGGAAAAAATCCCCTAGAAGACGGAACTTCACGTTCGGGAGTGTTAGTTTGCCGGACTTTTCACATGGGGACACATCATCTATAAGATTCAAGTTCCTCCTCTCCCATCATCTTCCCACATAACTGGTCAGCATGCTCGCAGTTACCTACTTGATAAAAGTCTGGGAGCAAATGGATCCACAGAGCTGGCCACTCCTTTGCACCCACCCTGAGAGAGGGAGGTCAAAGAGTCGGCAATACAGGAGCTTCTATCAGAGAAGAGGGTTACTAGGATTTTTTCCTTTCTTTTCTTTCTTTTTTTTTTTTTTTTTTTTTTTTTTTTTTTTTTTTTTTGCTGTTGCTATTAATCATCAGGGCTTAACCAGTAAGAATTGATTTAATACCATATTTCCTAAAAGGTGGTACACTTTTAGGTGGTGGACAAGATGATTTTTGGGAGCACATGTATAAACACTTTTCATTTTAGTAGTTTGGGATTCATTTTAATGTATCTTAGAAAAAAGAAAACTAAGGGCCGGCCCGTGGCTCACTCGGGAGAGTGCGGTGCTGATAACACCAAGGCCCCGGGTTCGGATCCCATATAGGGCTGGCTGGTTAGCTCACTGGGTGAGCGTGGTGCTGACAACACCAAGTCAAGGGTTAAGATTCCCTAATAATAATAATAAAGAAAAAGAAAACTAACACATGGAACTCATGCTTTCATAGAGATGGATTATTTCTTTTATTAGTTAATTACATTCAGATTTCTAAAAGTAGGCCAATTTATTTATTTATTTATTTATTTATTTTAATTTTGTTTTTTTAAGTCAAGTGCAGTAGTGAAAAGGGGGAAAGAGTAGAACAAGGAGTTTGATCTGTAACTGACTGTGATCAATCGATTGAGATAACTCACTACCTTCAGCCCAGCCTGCAGGCCAATTTAAAGAAAGATATTTAGTAAAGGTGACATGGCAAAAAAAATCATGAACATAGAACTAGCAGATTGTAGTTTGGGACATAGCATGTTGGTGGACAATTCCATCAACGTGTCAACATGAGGCAAACTATCTCATAGCATCTAATATGTGTTTCCTCTGGCTAAGGTTTCCTTCCACATGCTAGGACTTTCGACACTCTAGGGCGGCTGTTTCAGGGATCGTGTGTCACGCAGAGTGCCCAGTAAAACTGAGAATTGACCGAGTAAAGAATTTTAATATACGCATGCTCTCAGGAATACGACCAGATCACATGGGGTCCCTGACCACCTGTCCAAAACAGGATTAAAACGCAAAAGTGGCAAAGGCAGAAAGCTCCAGAAATGTACTAAAATTCCCAATGTGTATTTTTGGGGATTATTTTTCTAGAAGTATACTAGAACTCAACAGAAAAATATAATTTTAAAAAAAGAAAAAAAATTTTCAATCACAATAATTCCTCAAACTGGTTAAGATAAGTGAAGAGATATGATGTTGATGGCAGGGGGAGGAAGAGGGAGGAGGGAAAACAAGGAATTGGTAAAGAGACATGAAAATCAACTACACCGTATATTGATAAATTAAAAGAAAAAAATGATGTTAAAACACACAGACAGGGCCGAGCCCGTGGCGCACTCGGGAGAGTGCAGCGCTGGGAGCACAGCAGCGCTCCCGCCGCAGGTTCGGATCCTATATAGGGATGACCGGTGCACTCACTGGCTGAGCGCTGTGCGGCCAGTCTCAAAAAAGACAAAAAAAAAAAAAAAAAAAACCAAAAAAAAAAAAAAAAAAAAAAAAAAAACCATACAGACAAAAAAAAAGAAAAAATTTTTTCATAAACTTTGCTCCCCACCACTCCAAGACCCTTCGGTACCAACAACCTTACTTTTATCTAGCTTCTTTATCCTTGAGAGCATCCAATCTACTATCTTACTTGGGAGTACAGCTTTCTGGAAGATGATAACATCAGGGATGTGAGGAACCAGAACAGTGACTCGCCAAAGGCAATCAGTGTAACCAGAACCCACCTTAAACTAAAAGTGGCCTCGCTAGAAGGACAGGTTTTAGGAATATAAGAGCTACTTATAATTCACTGCCCATCTTAATAATGAGTAATTATGACAGAGTAACGGAAGTTGACCAATCTGAGAGACCAACAGACCAGTCATTATGCAGTTTAGTGAATAACAAAATGGACCTAAGTGATGTTTATATTCAGTAAAGAGAGCTCAGCAACCCGCAGAGCACAGCGCAGCTATGCAGCACGGCTCTGCAGCAGCACAGCGCCCGGCCGGGAAGAGCATGGAGCAAAGTAGAACCAGCAGCCAAGCTCCAGGGACCACTGTACATATTTGTGTGTATCTTACAGAAACGGGAGTTATCATATATCGTCATTAATTCAGAATCTTTCTTTCTTTTTTTAAAGATGACCGGTAAGGGGATCTCAACCCTTGACTTGGTGTTGTCAGCACCACGCTCAGCCAGTGAGCGAACCGGCCATCCCTATATGGGATCCGAACCCGGGGCCTTGTTGTTATCAGCTCCGCACTCTCCCGAGTGAGCCACCGGGCCGGCCGGAATCTTTCTTGATATCTGTTGCCTTACCAAGAAATTTCTTGATATCTGTTGCCTTACCAAGAAAATTATATTTATCAAGGAAAGAGCATAACGTAGCGGGAAGAGTTTGGAAGAGAATGAGATCTGAGGGGCCGGCCCGTGGCTCACTCGGGAGAGTGTGGTGCTGATAACACCAAGGCCGAGGGTTCGGATCCTATATGGGATGACCGGTGCGCTCACAGCGGCCGGTCTCAAAAAGGACAAAAAAAAAAAAAAAAAGGAAAGGAAAGAGATCCGGGGGAAAACCAAACCGGGCCACCTG